TAATTTAGAGAAGCTCGTGTCTGATGAAATGGTCACTGGTATGGGCCTGAGCGCGGCTGAAGTCCGGGAGAAGGTGAAGGAGAAGAGTATCTGTGAGCCGTGTGTGAAGGCCAAGCATACCCGCGCGTCTTTTCCTCCGTCTGGGAATGCAGCAAAACGTGTTTTGCAGCGAGTGCATATGGATGTGTGTGAGATGCCTGTTCCGTCTATGGGCGGGTCAAGGTATGTCGCCACGTTTCTGGACGAGCATTCGAGTTTTGCAATGGTGCGCTGTGTAGGGACGAAGGGAGAAGTTCCGGAAGTGGCCCGGGAAGTATTGCAGCTGTTAGAGACCCAATCGGGCAAGGAGCTGCTAGCAGGGCAGTCGGATCGCAGTGGGGAGTACCTGAATAAGGCTCTAGGACAATACCTTAAGGGTAAGGGGGTCCAGCACGACACGTCCGTGCCTTACACTCCTGAGCAAAATGGCCACGCTGAGAGACTGAACCGCACACTCCTGGAGAAGACCCGCGCGATGTTGCAAGACTCAGGATTGCCGCATGAATTATGGGCCGAAGCTATTACCACCGCATGTGCCCTGCATAATTATTCGCCTGTGTCGGGCAAGCAGATAACACCCTTTGAAGTTTTCCACCGTGTGAAGCCAGATGTCTCTGATTTGCGCGTGTTTGGGTGTACTGCGTGGGTGCATGTCGAGAGGAGGCACCGCAATAAGCTCGATGCAACGAGCGAGAAGGGTGTGTTGGTGGGCTACGAACACAACTGCAAAGGATACCGGATTTTATTGGACGGGTCTAAGCGTATCGTAGTGAGTAAAAGCGTGATTTTTGAGGAGAGCCAACGTCCCACACGCAGCCTGCAGATGATAGCGAAAGCAAGCGACAGCGGAAGCGATAGTGATGATGAGGACGATGTGGCTAGCAGTAGTTGCAAGACTGCAGCCCCTTCCCGGCAGGGGGAGCAGCTTAGTCCGAGCGAGGCCGTCAAGGGAACACGGCGAATGGAGATTCAGCTGAGCTGAATGAGGGGGAGCCTATGGTAGTTGGCACAGCACCTGAGGCACCTGAGGAGGAACCTACGGCTACCGGCGGTGCAGCCGATTCCACAAAAGGGAAGCCTAAGACTACCAGCGGGACCACTAAGGGGAAACCTAAAGCTGTCGGTAAGGCAGCTGAGGGGGAGGATAAGGCTGGTGCAGCTGCCTCTACACAACATCATTACCCCCAACGTGACCGTCATCCACCCCAAAGACTCAACCTTGCTGTCAACGTATCGGACGTCAAAATCCCGAGCACCTACGAAGAAGCGATGGCCTCTCCGGAACGGGACAAATGGCAGGAGGCGATGGTTGAAGAAATCGGATCTATGCACGCATTAGATACGTGGGAGCTGAAGGTACCGCCACCTAGGGTGAAACCGATTCCGGTGAAGTGGGTGTACGACGTGAAGCGGGGTGTAGACGGACAGGTGGAACGATACAAAGCCCGGTTGGTAGCAAAGGGCTATAAGCAGAAGGAAGGTGTTGATTTCAACGAGGTATTCGCGCCTGGTAGCAATCAGGTGACGTTGCGTACATTCCTGGCGAAGGCTGCGGCTGCAGGATTTGAGGTACACCACCTTGACGTACACACTGCGTTCCTCAACGGGACGCTGGAGGAGGTTATTTATTGTGATCAACCGCCTGGTTTTGAAACGGGTGGTGCAGGTATGAAGTGTCTGTTGAGGAAAGCGTTATACGGTTTACGTCAGGCAGGCAGAGCTTGGCACCAGAAGTTGCGGGAAACGCTGGAGGCTATTGGTTTTAAGGTTTCTGATGCGGATCCCAGCTTCTTTACGCTGAAAGAAGAGTCATTTGTGGTGTGGCTATACGCTCACGTAGACGACTTGCTAGTCGCGAGCAACAATAGCGTGGAAATGGCCCGTATTAAGCAAGAATTGAAGGCCGAGTTTGACCTCCGTGATCTGGGGGAGGTGTCGTTCTTTTTGGGCATGGAGATCAGTCGGAACAAGGAGCTAGGCGAGGTCAAAATCTCGCAGCAGCGGTATACGGCCGAATTGTTGGCCAAGTTCGGGATGGAGGATGCCGTTCCTAAGTCGGTTCCTATGACGCCAAGTCTAGTTTTGAACCGTACTAGTGATATCGATAAGGTATTGTTGGATGCAACGCGTTACCGAGAGTTAGTTGGTGGCTTAATGTATCTGGCAGTGTGCACGCGTCCCGATATCGCGCATGCTGTGTTTAAGTTAGCGCGGTATATGTCTGAGCCGTCGAAGGCTCACTGGGAGGCTGCTAAGGATATCCTGAGGTATCTGAAGGGGACTGCGAATTTCGGGTTATGTTTTGCCAGAGGCAGTAAGAAGATCGAGGGTTATGCCGACGCGGACTGGGCAGTGGACCGAGACAACCGCCGCTCGACAACAGGATATGCTTTTATCCTTGGCGGTGGAGCAGTCAGCTGGAAGAGTCGTCTGCAACCGACTGTGGCAGCGTCAACTGTGGAGGCGGAGTATATGGCGGCGTCCCTAGCTACTCGCGAAGCGCTCTGGCTGAGGAAACTTCTGCCCGAGTTTGGGTGTGAGGTTGACGTCATGCGTATCTGGGGTGACAACCAGGGAGCGTTAAGTTTCATAAAGAATCCGATTGTTTCGGAACGTGCGAAGCACATTGATGTGATTCATCACTTTGTGCGTGAGAGGGTATCTATGGGGCAGGTGAAGTTTGAGTATTGTCCCACTACCAGTATGGTAGCTGATATCCTCACGAAGCCGTTGCCGGAAGGAAAGTTCGTGCAGTTCCGAGAAGGACTGGGAGTTCGTTGAGTTGGATTCGTCCGGGTGTTCCGTCCGAGGGGGAGTGTTGACATTCGGCCAGAACACTGACGGCTGTACGACAGATAAGATGGAATGTTTGGTATAAAGGAGATGATGTTCTGACTGAAAGATTGTTCTGTGATACCTGTAACGGTTAATGTTGGCTTTACCTACACAGTTCCACTCGCCTATATCGTAACACGCGGCACCTTTTGAGATAACATTTTGCCCTAGAGGCGTTGATGTGACTTTGAGCTCGGTCAATGGAGGCAGCCAAACTTGTTTATGCTCATACGATTTTTGTTGGCTACAGGCGAGATACCTTGCAATAGAGAATGCTATAAAGTACCAATAACGCTTTTCAGCCGGGCGAGATATTATGTTTGGTCCTTTACACACACACGGCGCCACGGCCACACGGCCACACGGCCACACGGCCACACGGCCACACGGCCACACGGCCATACGGCCACACGGCCACACGGCCACACGGCCACACGGCCACACGGCCACACGGCCACACGGCCACACGGCCACACGGCCACACGGCCACACGGCCACACGGCCACACGGCCACACGGCCACACGGCCACACGGCCACACGGCCACACGGCCACACGGCCACACGGCCACACGGGCACACGGCCACACGGTCACACGGCCACACGGCCACACGGCCACACGGCCACACGGCCACAGGGCCACACGGCCACACGGCGCCACGGGGCCACACAGCCACACGGGGCCACGGGGCCACACGGCCACATGGCCACACGGCCACACGGCCACACGGCCACACGGCCACACGGCCACACGGCCACACGGCCACACGGCCACACGGCCACATGGCCACACGGCCACACGGCCACACGGCCACACGGCCACACGGCCACACGGCCACACGGCCACACGGCCACATGGCCACACGGCCACACGGCCACACGGCCACACGGCCACACGGCCACACGGCCACACGGCCACATGCGGCCACACGGCCACACGGCCACACGGCCACACGGCCACACGGCCACACGGCCATGGGCAATCCAACAGAGCGGGGTCCCCCTTGGTTGCGGTCATGCGGTCAATTTTCCACTATTACGTTGCTTATGTGCCATGTATTTCCATAGCTTGTCTGACGGTAGTTCCCAGCAACATGCGGCTTTTATGAAGCTAGATAGACGTATGGTAATACCTTCTCATCCGTACCGAATATGTATGTGTCTATAAATCCTTCATACGCACACCCATGGGAAGCTCAGCAGGTCAACAGGTGCAGTATACTCGTACAGTCTTTAGGTACGACTAAAAACTGAAATCGCTGCGTGCAGTAGTAGTGTGTAACTCAGCGATGCACACCTGGACGCCTGCTGCCGCGTTAGTCTGGGTGGAGCCGATGGGTGGTGGTATCCATGGCAGCTGTTACACAGATAAAGCTCGGGTCCCCGGAAAAGCTTGCATACGTGTGTGTAATGTGGAGCATTTTGATAGCCATCAACATCGTCAGTCACAACCTACCTAGGAAGGCACGCTGTGTCAAAGCAACGAACCAAGCAAGCAACTGCGTGGATGGTAACCGCAACAAACACCTACCAATGGATCACACCCATTAGTTCCCTCAAGCAGAAACCTGCAAAGATAACGAAGGGCACACAGCCCAGTCCAAGCAAACGCACAGCACCGACCCCGTGGTATATGATAAATGCTCTACTAACGGCTCACTGGTACCATCCACTAGCACGGGTATTGCTCCTGGCCTTGCTAGCGTGTTTTGTATAACGTCTTTGAACTGTCACTTTTCCTCGTGTCCATATCCGTTCGTAGTGGCGAGGTCAGCAAGGCAAGCACGCACGGGCCAATACTCATGCACTCCCGGGCAGTGCATCCGCTGCGGCTCAACACAGAATCTGATCACTGGCTAGCAGGCGGAAGCCGGTCACTCCGCCAAAACCCAAACTACCGGGCCGGCCCCCCCTGGTCCTCCGGCTAGCCTCTGAACATGTGGAGACCTAGATCACGAGTTTCTGCCGTACCAAAGTACGCCTCAACCTGCACCTGGACACATGGCCTCCTAGCGAGCGCACCCCAGCCAGCTGCTGGGACATAAAAAAGCGAGCAGGGAAGAACCTGCTCCTGGCCAGCTGTGTGAATGCTATTGCGGTGCGACGAAGCCTATCATATCCTTCTCATCAAGGCTTCCCATTTTCGGTTCCATAGCACAGCGCGTAGTTCTTGACCTTGCAGTCGTTCACATACGCCTTATCGCCTCCCTTGGAATTCACATACGTGCAAGAATCGGCCTTCTCGTCTGATAGCCAGCAGCCCTTGCCGCTGTGGTAGCAGGCTGAATCAACAGCGTCTGCAGGGGGCGGATGTGGTAGGGAGCCCGTAAGTGGGTAGCTGTAGGTTCCACCCAAAGCATGAATGTAAGAAGAAAGCATGTGGGGTGCGGGCCCGCCATACATACGGCTGCTAAAAACGGCTATCACATATGGTCGGCAAGCCTGCGCGCCCCTTTGCGTTAATTCATTGAATCCGCTCCACAGCGCTATATAAGGCGAGTTCTTTGTACAACTGCTGCCGTACCATCTAACACCAACATCGGCATGATGCAACTGACACGCCCTATGCAAAACCTTCTGTATGGATATATCCCCACCTGACTTCGTATTGTCGACTCGCGGCACCAGAACATAGCCCTCGGACTTGCAAAAGTTGTCCGCTTCCTTGAACTCAAGCATGGAGTCTGAAATCATATAATCCCACTTCTTGCCCTTGAACTTCTTGCCTTTCACTGTGCACAGGGATAGCGGTTAGGTCATGTACGGGGATCAGGAAAGGACTGGAGGGGAGTGTGGCGTGCTTAATATGGATGGCATCAGTACGGTATAGAACAGTACCTCTAGTGCCGTACAGTACAGTGCCGTTCATCGCTGTAAACGGCTTTGTTACCTTTCACCGAATAGTGTTCACCAAGAAGCTAAGCAGGCAGCACACTTCCAATCGAGGCCATTATGTAGGACAAGACTGATTGGGACATACTGCGATGTAGTGGTTACATGTGCATCCCACCCAACTTACCCTTCAGCTTCTCGACTTTCTCGACTTCGACCTTCACGGGCTGTAGGGGAATTTGGGGCTGCTTGGGAGCCTTGGGCTGCTTAGGGGCCAAAGGCTGCTTGGGGGCCTTGGGCTGCTTAGGGGCAGTCGGCTGCTCTGGGGCCTTGGGCTGCTTAGGGGCCAAAGGCTGCTTGGGGGCCTTGGGCTGCTTAGGGGCCAAAGGCTGCTTGGGGGCCTTGGGCTGCCTAGGGGCCTTGGGCTGCTCTGGGGCCTTGGGCTGCTTGGGGGCAGTCGGCTGCTCCGGGGCCTTGGGCTGCTTGGGGGCCTTGGGCTGCTTAGGGGCAGTCGGCTGCTCTGGGGCCTTGGGCTGCTTGGGGGCCTTGGGCAGCTTAGGGGCAGTCGGCTGCTCTGGGGCCTTGGGCTGCTTGGGAGCCTTGGGCTGCTTAGGGGCAGTCGGCTGCTCGGGGGCCTTGGGCTGCTTGGGAGCCTTGGGCTGCTTGGGGGCAGTCGGTTGCTCAGGGGCCTTGGGCTGCTTGGGAGCCTTGGGCTGCTTGGGGGCAGTGGGCTGCTCGGGGGCCTTGGGCTGCTTGGGAGCCTTGGGCTGCTTAGGGGCAGTCGGTTGCTCAGGGGCCTTGGGCTGCTTGGGAGCCTTAGGCTGCTTGGGGGCAGTGGGCTGCTCGGGGGCCTTGGGCTGCTTGGGAGCCTTGGGCTGCTTAGGGGCAGTCGGTTGCTCGGGGGCCTTGGGCTGCTTGGGAGCCTTAGGCTGCTTAGGGGCAGTCGGTTGCTCAGGGGCCTTGGGCTGCTTGGGAGCCTTGGGCTGCTTGGGGGCAGTCGGTTGCTCAGGGCCCTTGGGCTGCTTGGGAGCCTTGGGCTGCTTGGGAGCCTTGGGCTGCTTGGGGGCAGTGGGCTGCTCGGGGGCCTTGGGCAACTTGGGAGCCTTAGGCTGCTTAGGGGCAGTCGGCTGCTCTGGGGCCTTGGGCTGCTTGGGGGCCTTGGGCTGCTTGGGAGCCTTGGGCTGCTGAGGGGCAGTTGGTTGCTCGGGAGCCTTGGGCTGCTCGGGAGCCATGGGCTGCTTAGGGGCAGTTGGTTGCTCGGGAGCCTTGGGGTGCTTTGGCGGCTTGGGCGACGGCGGCTTGGGCGACGGCGGCTTGGGCGACGGCGGCTTGGGCGACGGCGGCTTGGGCGACGGCGGCTTGGGCGACGGCGGCTTGGGCGACGGGGGCTTGGGCGAAGGGGGCTTGGGCGAAGGGGGCTTGGGCGAAGGGGGCTTGGGCGAAGGGGGCTTGGGCGACGGCGGCTTGGGGGACGGCGGCTTGGGGGACGGCGGCTTGGGGGACGGCGGCTTGGGGGACGGCGGCTTGGGGGACGGCGGCTTGGGGGACGGCGGCTTGGGGGACGGCGGCTTGGGGGACGGCGGCTTGGGGGACGGCGGCTTGGGAGAAGGCGGTCGCGACGGCGGCTTGGGCGACGGCGGCTTGGGGGACGGCGGCTTGGGGGACGGCGGCTTGGGGGCCTTGGGCTGCCTCGGTGGCTTTGGCGACGGAGGTTGGGGCGACGGAGGTTGAGGTGCCTCGGGCGCCTGGACACAACACAATTGATGTATGCGGCGTTTGCAATGTGAAATAAGGTGTAGTAAGGGATCATTTAATTAGTTTTTTAGCTGTTGAGCACTTTGGACCTCTTATCCAGTCAGGAGAGAGGAATGTAGTGGAGTCAGGACATCAAAGACAGAGTGGGATACCGGTGGGCTGTGGTAGGCTGGAAGTAGATGTGCAGCGGCGTTAACTTGCTCACCTTGGGAGGACGTGGCTTATTTGAGTTTCTTGATTCAACGTCTTGTGCACTCACTCCTGCAGAGATACACCACACACGGGGCCACAAGGCCGTGCACCACCTGGTTCCCTGGCAGATGCCCGCAGGATTCGGGTCTCGGCACCCAATGGCCTCTCTCCAGCCACGTCCCCCATGTCCTCCGCCACTCACCCTGCGGTGCCATCAGGCACAGTACGGCCACCACCGCCAGCAGCACCAGGCGGCTGGTCATGGCCCGGTGGGGGCTGCTGGACGCTGCAAGTCGGGTCATGTGGGACCACGTGAGGGGGGGCTGACTGTTAGGGACCTGACCCGGCCTAGTCACAAGTCGGGGGAAGCCTCAGCAGCAAGATTACAGCTTAGGTCGAGGTTCACGAGGACCCAGCCAAGCAGGTGCTCCGCTTAGGTAGAGCGGAGGAACTGCGCGTCACCTAAACACCAGCCACCGCTCTGCATGCAAGTTCATCAGTGTTCGATGTTCATACCACGACACCTACGCAATGTTTTATAGCAAGACTGATACAGCGCCATTTAGTTTTCAGGTGATGGCTTATGGGACTGGCTTCGTCGCTGACAGGCTCGTGCAGCAGTGGGGGGCTTGACGGCCCAGCCGGTTCGGTGGGCCGTTCCGATTGCAGCGGACACTGGTGGGCGGCACTGGATGGATCGCCCTCTTCCCCGATACCAACTTGGCGGCCTGCACACCTGCGCGCGGAGAGAATGATGCCGACTATCCAAGTAATTCGTCAGAACAACATTCGCAGCTAGGCTGGCTGCAAATGTCGTTTGGCAGGTAGGACGCCCGCGGCCATGGCAAAGCCATTACCATTAGCCAGCAGCAGCAAGGGATCCAGAGGCAGCAGACCCACATGGCCGGGGACATGACAGGATACACCGTGACGCGTGACGAGTTGGCACCTGAGCGCGTTATAGGCTTGACGTATCGGTGCCGATACAGTCCTTTTCACAAGCTCGTTAAAGCGCTTCATTCTTTCGCTGTCCGGCTGCCTATCTGAGGCTGCTGATACGCGCATTAGTTGCTGTGGGGTTGCCCTCATGAGGTTGTTTGGACTGTCTCGGGACGGACCCAGAGGCGTATGGCTGCATCAGCACCTCCGAACAACAATTGTCTGGTCCCGCAGCGGGATAACTGTCTGTGTGTAGGCAACGAAGCTGCATGTCGCAGCACGCACATATGCAGCAGTGCAGCAATTAATGTTACTCCGGAATGCATGGATGTCCCGGCCAAGCGGGAGGACGGGTGCCGTGCTTGTGGCAAAATCATTCAATGCGGCGGTCTAGTGCGACGGCACTAGAAACTGCCTATCCGACCGCATCGCTATCCATGGGTTGGTGTCGTGGCTGGCTTCCGTACGGCAGCTATATATTGCGCTCTTTCCCCCGGGGAAACGGCCACACCAGCCCTTGGAAAAGTCGGGTGTCGGCTTCCTCGAAGCCGGAAAAAGGGCGGGGGGCCCCTGCATCCGTACAGGCCGGTAGCTAGGGTAGTGTCAACGTGGTGGGATCTGTGCTTGTTGCAGCTGTGCTGATGCTGTGGGAGCTATGCTTGTCAGAGCGCGGGAGGCAGGAAGCCGGGGCTCATAACCTGCTGAAGAGACCATGTCTCTCTGGAACCTAGCAGACATGGCTAAGAGTCATTGGCCATTACACGCAGTCTGGAGGTCCGCGACCTGCCACCGACAGCCCCTTGCTTGGGCGTAAGCGTATGAGTCTGAGGTGCCGTTACCGGCACACAGCAGGGGCTCGGCCGCCAAGTCCGCGGTCCAGGCCGGATGCTCAACGCTCAGCAGACACAATCGCAGCTTGCCAGCCCTCAGCCTTTTGGCTTTGCGGTCTGGTGCCGCAGCCATAATACACACGGAAACAGCGCCATACAGCACCGTACGCACTGCCTACGGCGCCCCTTCAGGCATCGACCCGCCTGCTCACGCGCCCTTGGCGTCCCCCTCAAAGCCTAGCTCGACACACTTCCCAAAAGCCCCCAGCACTTTCCGGCAAATTTGTCGGCCTGCTGGTGGCAAGTCGGAATGCCCTTGCGGGCAAATGGTAACACAAGCTGGGTGTTCGAGTTATCATACGCACGACCTCAGGATTGGAATATTTGTTGTTGTTGTTACATGGTCGTGGGTGCGTTCCCCGTACGAGCCGAGGGCTCAAGGGCTGCCAAATCGCCTATAAACACCATCCTACCTCGCAGTTCCAACGAAACAAGTAATGAAGGATACTAACGACCAAAGGGAATGATAGAGTTGCGGTGGGACCATATGCGTTCCAGCATCCTTGCCAGGCGTTCAGGTTCCCACTTCATAGCGTCCTTCATATGCTCGAAGCGTGGGAAACCCATATCAGATCTGATTTTGTTGTACACCGGACAGTCCATCAAAATGTGCTTCTCGTCCTCGATATGGCTATCAGTGCCGCAGCAAGGGCATACTCGCTCCTCCCTTTGTATATAACGCCGTCCCTTACGCGCTCTGTTAGCCGCCAATGCCCAACAGCAAAGCCTAAACTGCATAAGCTTGCGGTTCGCTGAACGCGGGATAAACATTGCGATATGCGGGAGCACCTCCTTCCTGCCCGCTTGCTCGGCCGCCAGCCCCATCCAATGCTTATACTTCGCCATGTGAATTCCTGGTTGCTTGCCGTCTGACGGGTACACGTCAGGCTGGACATCTAAACGCGTATGCTTCCAACCACTCGCTAATCGGTCCTTGAAGTCCAAAACCACACCTTCTGGCATTGGCCTGTTCATCAGCCACTCCACTCGTTCGTCTACCTCGTGTAGCCCTTGCGGGGCCTCTTTCCATACGTCGTGCCCCAAAAAACATAGAAAACGGAGGAGTAGTGCCCCCATCCGGCCCCTTCGGGGTTGGAGAGGGACTCTGCGACCTCCTGTCGTAAAACTTGGTATGCCACAGACCCACGCTGTAAACGAACATGGTTCCAAAACCTCACAACCTGCTTGAGAACGTGGTAGTGTAGGGGTAGCTGCGACAGCTCTGCAAACAGGAGGCGGTGTGTTGGTCTGGCAGCTCCTACAATTTGTGGCATGAAAGATATCTGAAGCTGCACTGCTGTGTCCTTTAGGCATGCCTCGAAGGGCCCCTCTGCAAGGTTACTCGCATCACTCCGCCTCTTGAGCCTGTCCAAGACCTCAGCTAGCATAAACGGCCCCCAGACAGGCCACAGCTGTCACTCATGACAGTCTGACAAGTTACCCAAACAGGCCACGGGACGACAGGGCAACCCTTCGCATCAACACACGGCCACATGGCCACACGGCCACACGGCCACACGGCCACATGGCCACATGGCCACATGGCCACACGGCCACACGGATACACGGACACACGGACACACGGACACACGGCCACACGGACACATGGCCACACGGCCACACACGGCCACACGCACACACGGCCACACGGACACACGGACACATGGCCACACGGCCACACACGGACACACGGACACACGGACACACGGACACACGGACACACGGACACACGGACACACGGACACACGGACACACGGACACACGGACACACGGACACACGGACACACGGACACACGGACACACGGACACACGGACACACGGACACACGGACACACGGACACACGGACACACGGACACACGGACACACGGACACACGGACACACGGACACACGGACACACGGACACACGGACACACGGACACACGGACACTCGGACACACGGACACACGGCCATGGGCAATCCAACAGAGCGGGGTCCCCCTTGGTTGCGGTCATGCGGTCAATTTTCCACTATTACGTTGCTTATGTGCCATGTATTTCCATAGCTTGTCTGACGGTAGTTCCCAGCAACATGCGGCTTTTATGAAGCTAGATAGACGTATGGTAATACCTTCTCATCCGTACCGAATATGTATGTGTCTATAAATCCTTCATACGCACACCCATGGGAAGCTCAGCAGGTCAACAGGTGCAGTATACTCGTACAGTCTTTAGGTACGACTAAAAACTGAAATCGCTGCGTGCAGTAGTAGTGTGTAACTCAGCGATGCACACCTAGACGCCTGCTGCCGCGTTAGTCTGGGTGGAGCCGATGGGTGGTGGTATCCATGGCAGCTGTTACACAGATAAAGCTCGAGTCCCCGGAAAAGCTTGCATACGTGTGTGTAATGTGGAGCATTTTGATAGCCATCAACATCGTCAGTCATAACCTACCTAGGAAGGCACGCTGTGTCAAAGCAACGAACCAAGCAAGCAACTGCGTGGATGGTAACCGCAACAAACACCTACCAATGGATCACACCCATTAGTTCCCTCAAGCAGAAACCTGCAAAGATAACGAAGGGCACACAGCCCAGTCCAAGCAAACGCACAGCACCGACCCCGTGGTATATGATAAATGCTCTACTAACGGCTCACTGGTACCATCCACTAGCACGGGTATTGCTCCTGGCCTTGCTAGCGTGTTTTGTATAACGTCTTTGAACTGTCACTTTTCCTCGTGTCCATATCCGATCGTAGTGGCGAGGTCAGCAAGGCAAGCACACACTCATGCACTCCCGGGCAGTGCATCCGCTGCGGCTCAACACAGAATCTGATCACTGGCTAGCAGGCGGAAGCCGGTCACTCCGCCAAAACCCAAACTACCGGGCCGGCCCCCCCTGGTCCTCCGGCTAGCCTCTGAACATGTGGAGACCTAGATCACGAGTTTCTGCCGTACCAAAGTGCGCCTCAACCTGCACCTGGACACATGGCCTCCTAGCGAGCGCACCCCAGCCAGCTGCTGGGACATAAAAAAGCGAGCAGGGAAGAACCTGCTCCTGGCCAGCTGTGTGAATGCTATTGCGGTGCGACGAAGCCTATCATATCCTTCTCATCAAGGCTTCCCATTTTCGGTTCCATAGCACAGCGCGTAGTTCTTGACCTTGCAGTCGTTCACATACGCCTTATCGCCTCCCTTGGAATTCACATACGTGCAAGAATCGGCCTTCTCGTCTGATAGCCAGCAGCCCTTGCCGCTGTGGTAGCAGGCTGAATCAACAGCGTCTGCAGGGGGCGGATGTGGTAGGGAGCCCGTAAGTGGGTAGCTGTAGGTTCCACCCAAAGCATGAATGTAAGAAGAAAGCATGTGGGGTGCGGGCCCGCCATACATACGGCTGCTAAAAACGGCTATCACATATGGTCGGCAAGCCTGCGCGCCCCTTTGCGTTAATTCATTGAATCCGCTCCACAGCGCTATGTAAGGCGAGTTCTTTGTACAACTGCTGCCGTACCATCTAACACCAACATCGGCATGATGCAACTGACACGCCCTATGCAAAACCTTCTGTATGGATATATCGACACACCTGACTTCGTATTGTCGACTCGCGGCACCAGAACATAGCCCTCGGACTTGCAAAAGTTGTCCGCTTCCTTGAACTCAAGCATGGAGTCTGAAATCATATAATCCCACTTCTTGCCCTTGAACTTCTTGCCTTTCACTGTGCACAGGGATAGCGGTTAGGTCATGTACGGGGATCAGGAAAGGACTGGAGGGGAGTGTGGCGTGCTTAATATGGATGGCATCAGTACGGTATAGAACAGTACCTCTAGTGCCGTACAGTACAGTGCCGTTCATCGCCGTAAACGGCTTTGTTACCTTTCACCGAATAGTGTTCACCAAGAAGCTAAGCAGGCAGCACACTTCCAATCGAGGCCATTATGTAGGACAAGACTGATTGGGACATACTGCGATGTAGTGGTTACATGTGCATCCCACCCAACTTACCCTTCAGCTTCTCGACTTTCTCGACTTCGACCTTCACGGGCTGTAGGGGAATTTGGGGCTGCTTGGGAGCCTTGGGCTGCTTAGGGGCCAAAGGCTGCTTGGGGGCCTTGGGCTGCTTGGGGGCAGTCGGCTGCTCGGGGGCCTTGGGCTGCTTAGGGGCCAAAGGCTGCTTGGGGGCCTTGGGCTGCTTAGGGGCCTTGGGCTGCTCGGGGGCCTTGGGCTGCTTGGGAGCCTTAGGCTGCTCTGGGGCCTTGGGCTGCTTGGGGGCCTTAGGCTGCTTAGGGGCAGTCGGCTGCTCTGGGGCCTTGGGCTGCTTGGGAGCCTTGGGCTGCTTAGGGGCAGTCGGCTGCTCGGGGGCCTTGGGCTGCTTGGGAGCCTTGGGCTGCTTAGGGGCAGTCGGCTGCTCTGGGGCCTTGGGCTGCTTGGGAGCCTTGGGCTTCTTAGGGGCAGTCGGCTGCTCTGGGGCCTTGGGCTGCTTGGGAGCCTTGGGCTGCTTAGGGGCAGTCGGCTGCTCTGGGGCCTTGGGCTGCTTGGGGGCCTTAGGCTGCTGAGGGGCAGTCGGCTGCTCGGGGGCCTTGGGCTGCTCGGGAGCCTTGGGCTGCTTAGGGGCCTTGGGCTGCTTAGGGGCAGTCGGCTGCTCTGGGGCTTTGGGCTGCTTAGGGGCCTTGGGCTGCTGAGGGGCAGTCGGCTGCTCGGGGGCCTTGGGCTGCTTGGGAGCCCTGGGCTGCTTAGGGGCAGTCGGCTGCTCTGGGGCCTTGGGCTGCTTGGGAGCCTTGGGCTGCTTAGGGGCAGTCGGCTGCTCGGGGGCCTTGGGCTGC